CACACACACACACACACACACACACACACACACACACACACACACACACACACACACACACACACACACACAGTTTGATCAGAGGACCAATTAACTGAACATGGATTATAACATCTGCATCAGACTTTTGAAGGTATGAGGAAAAATGAGCGAGACATTAAAAATAACTGAATTCCCACGTCATTTACATCCACCCTCCCTTCTTATTTTTATGCCTCGTGCTCTTTTATGGTTCTAAAATCAGCCAAATCAGGTCACTTTACATTCTGCTCCACATCGGCAACAACTGCTCTCCACAGAAAAACAACCTTTAAACGCAATTAACGTTCTCCTCTTTCGACCGTATTGCAACCTAAAAAAAAGCTGCTTTTTATACCTTCTGTGCCTTTAAAATTTTCTCAGATGAAAACATTTCTTTTAAAAGACAAACAGCTTTTGTGGACATATATTAAAGGTACTTTTTGTAATTACCCTTGGGAGAATTTGATTGAGGTTTTCAGTCAGGTCAGATACTGAAAATGTTCATCTAGTGGGCGACGTCACGGTGGTTACGTCTGATAATTTTGGACCTATTTGTTGATCAAGACAAGGCAGTCCAACTGTTGGTTGGTCATAAATAAAAATGTGCTGTTTTTGACTTACCAGGTTAAATAAAGGTAAGACTATTTGCACCCCATTCCAGCTTCACTTGATGCACCCAAACAGTGCATGTTTTATATATAAAGTCACAGTGGTTGTTTCTTCACATTTCTTTTTCATAGTTTTGTTTATTTTGGAACATTTTAAAGAATTTTTAAACATCAAAGTTTACAAAAAGTACCTTTAAACTCAAATTTCAGTGACACAAACTTAAACACCAATAAATTAAAGCACTCAGCTTCTATTAAAACACCAAAACCTGACACAATATAAGCCTTCAGTAAGTTACATTTTCAAATGTCTGAAAAGTCCTCACTTTGATGAACATAGCTCGACAAGAAAAGCTAACTGAATGATGTCCCTTTAAAAAAATGAATTTTTAAAGGAACGACAGGCTTTGAAAATGTCATTACAGCTTGATATGAACACGCAGTGACTCGAGTGCTGAAGACGTACTCCGAGTTTGGTCCAAACAAAAAGAAGAAAAATAAATAATAATGAGGTTCAGCATTCCTAAGAAGAATAAGAAGACACAGAAAGTTACACGCACGGGCACACAAACTAAAACAGACGCATGTACATGTACGCACATACACGCCGTGACATCATAAGTCAGCACTATGACATCACCAACACTGGCTTCTGACACCGTCATGCGTTTCTTCTTTTCTCTATGATTGCATCAGCTCTTTTTTATTCTTGTGTATACAAAGGGTTTTTCTTCTTCTATTCTTTTTTTTTTAATTCCACTAGAAAGTTTTTAATACTGAAAATCCAGGATTACACATTAAAACTCACAGAGATTAAAAAAATAAATACATGTTTAAGTAGAAGAGAAAGAAAGAGAGCTCATGATGATAGCGTTCATAGTGTCATTGAGGGGGAACTTCTACATAAACCATTAACACGTGAGCACATGTATTAAAACACTAAAACTGGCTGGCAGGAAGCTTCACGCAGTAATCAATCATGTCTGTCTTTATCGAAATACAACCCGAGAGTGGAACCTTAAACAAGGCCTCTCTTGAAACCCCAGAAAGGGTATATCCAGCCAGCGTGGCCAGAAGGTCCATCTCACAGCCAGAAAACCAAAAAAATGTACAAAATATGACATCATTATGGTCAACGCTTCTCCCGCAGCTTTTTAAAATGGTCATGTGTCTTTACATGGTACACAAAAGTTCTTTTGCTTTGCACAATTTCCTTGCATTTTAATTTTTTTTTCTCTCTACGCAAGAAGAATAAAAATAAAAATATCTGTGAAAAATATGCACGAGCATGCCTCCCGACTCACAGGAAAAAATGAAAATGAGAAGCAGAGACTGTACAGAGCATAGACACACAAAGATAATTCATTTTAGCCCTTGGTGTGAAGTGTCCATTGTCCCCCCCCCACCGCCTAAAACCCATTTGCCACCCTTCCCCTTCGTACGAGGTGAGCAGCTGAACTTGCAGGAAAACATGTGGTGCTATAGACGTACAGGAGGGTTGGTTTAATACCAATCGGCGGCAGAAACAAAGCCCTCGACCCCTCTACAAGCTTGCCATGAAAAGTTTTGAACAGTTCAGGGTTTCCGCCAGAGAAGTTGTCGACCCCAGCCACCATTTAACATTGCTGATGTTGCACCTATAGCAGAAACATTTTGGCCATTTTGTTGAGCGATAACAAAACAACCCTGTTTCTGGGTCCAAATGTAAAATTAATGGTGTTAAAATGGGATTTTTGGTTTTTGAAAATGATTGCAGCTCCATTTGAAATCTTAATAACTGCCATCCAAAATCACTTTACCAAAAATCAGAAACTATTAAAATGTTTTCCTCCAAAGCTAGCTATCCTAGCCATGAGCTAACGGTGTCTCAGACACAAAATATTTAGCGTGCCGACTAAGATTTCAATGTAAGCAGTCAACTTAGGCTCAGGACTTTTTACATTTTTCATAACCTTGTGTCATAGATGAGGCTCAGATGTTATCTTAGGTGAAGTGCGTTCCATTTTTATTACCTTCTTCCTGTCAATGAAATCATAGGAAACAAAAGATGGACTTGGCTTCCTGGTCTGATTCAATGAAGACATCTGTCTCAACGAGAAACCTCAACTTGGACTTTATATTAGTTTGTTTTAGACTAAACATAGCTCTATATGGCAAATGGCACCAGTTATATGTCAACTAGCTTAGCTTCACTTGACAAGATCAACTAACCTAATTCTAACTCCAGCTTAGTAAGCCTTCTTTTCCATGATTGCTGGAATGTTAAACTTTACTGGGAGAACGAGCGCACAGATCCTTTTATTCAAGCTTGGAATTTGGAATTTTTTAACTCTCAAAGTTTCCTCAATGACTCTTTTCTTTTGGGACCTAGAAATGCCCAATGATGTCAGACTTAATATGCAGTTAGCTCTCACTTTATATCTCTGGATACAAATTGAGTGTTTTTTCCCACTTTACTGTGCTATACCACCCACAGAGCCCACAATATGGTTATAGTTGTTCACTTATGGCTAGGAATCATGTAGCTTACTGTCATTTGTAAATAGTAGATGTCCACCAAAGCTAATCCTTTAAGTTTAACATTGTTTTTTATTTTCTTTTTTAAATTATTGTACTATTAGCTGATCTGAAAAATGGGTAACAATAAAACCAGGATAATAAGATACATTAGCTAACGTTACAAATGTAGCTCTTGTTTATAAAAGTGTGGGAGGTGGTCAATTAAAAAGCTGGTAAGTCTATGGTAGACTGGCGGAAACCCTACAGTTGCTGAAGAATGTTTGGTCAGTCAGTCAATGTATGAGATTGGCTCAGTTCAAAACTTTCTTAGCCTACGAATTACACAATGTTTCATAGATGATATACACCCACTAGATTTCACTGTACAAGAGCATAGTCAGCTAAAATCATACTGCAAAGTGGACTTCACTTGTAAAGCCCGGTCACACCAGAAACACAGGCGAACATCTGGATTCAAAATGTTTTAGAAGTAGCAACTTGAGACATTCACAATAGCTCCTCAACCTTCTTTATTTTTATCCTTCCCTTTATCATTAACTGGCACTTAGTTCTTGGGAGTTTTCGTGAAATGCTGGTGTGACTGGGCCTTTATGGCAGCGCTTTGACTTGCTTTTCGTCTCTAAACGGCTCATTTTATTTATTTATCTTTAGCTTGAGTGAATCGAGCTATAAAGAAATCAAATGAGAGTTAACTGCTGCATTATTTCAGCAGTTTTACTTTGATAGTCCAATCACGACTAGAGAAAGAAATGACAGACTGATCATATGACCAGTCTTTACATTACAAAGTGGCTGGCTAAAGGATAAATATGTTTTCAACTAAGTATACACAAAATCCTACAGGGCTCAGTTATGCTAATATTATTATTATTATTAGTAGTAGTAGTAATAGTATCAGGTTAATTTCATACAAAAGCAACTTGTTTGGTTTTAAATACTTGTATAAATACACTGACAAGCAAACCCGTCTGCCTCTGCCTCGGCGCTCTGACATCCACAGTGGATTCAAAGATGGATGAATTTCTGTCGGAGCACTCGAGGACTCAGAGGACAGCGCAACAAAACTCAAGGACAATTCAACAAATTTGACTCAGTGGATATCCTTCAATAAAAGTCACAGCGAATACCCAGCAGCCTTTAACTGCTTTTTTCTTTTCTTTTTTTTTTTTGCTCTTTACTTGGGCATTTGTCTTCTCTTCACAAAGAATAGGTGAAATTTCTCTTTTCCAATACACAAGTGACAAAGAGAGAATCAATTGGCTTTACTCACTAATGTTGCCATCCACCACTTTTTATTTTATGAAGGGGGCTGTGTGCAGCTGAGAGCAGCCCTGTGAGGGAGCCAGCTGATATCAAACCACTTGCTTGTTTCTTTGCCATTTCCTGCTCATATCTTCACACTAAAAACCTCGCTGCTTCCCTCTCTTCATCTGGTCTTCAGCTTCTTTTCATCTGCACCTCTTCTCCACCACTCTTCCTCTCACACTGTCACCTCATTCTTACTCCCAGTCCGGAGTCCCTGGCCTCCACCTCCTCCGGGGATGAAGTGCAGCTGTTCAATCGTGTTCTGCCTCTTGCTGGCGAAAGCCATACGTCGGGCGTTGGGGTGGCCTCCACCTGTCCCGCCGTGGGAGTCCCAGCCACCGTGCATGCCCATGCCGGACATGGTCGTGGTGCTGCGGTCGTGCTCGTGGCCTGATGTGGGGTGGGAGTTCATCTTGATCATGTGGTGGCGGTCCATGGATGGCGTGACACAAATGTTCTGCTGTGACTGAGCCTTCTGGTGGTGGCTGAGCCGGCCCATGGTGGGAACCATCCCGGTTCCTCCCCCTCGCTCACTCGTTCCCGGCAGCAGACCCATCGTCATCAGCCGGTCCTCCAGACGGTCAGGGGAGACCAGGAGCCGCTCATGGGACCTGGAAACACAGACTTATTGTCAGTGTCATAAAAGTATTACAATATTTGAATATAAATTTTACTGGAAGCTTTATGATTTGAATACCCAGAGTACTTTCCTGGGTATTGGAATTGAATTCAAAGTTCTAGTATCACGACAACTCTAAGGGGGACCATCTAAAATTGTGGAAATTTGAAGTATAATGCACTTTTTCAGCTCCATGTTTTTATTTATTAGAGTAGCTTTGCGGGATGATAATGGTTCGTCTATGGGTATTCATGGAAATGGCAGAAAGGCACAGCTGGAATTCATTTTATTTAAGAGTACCGACAACGAGACAGCCTGTTAGGAAAAGCACTAAAATCAAAGCTGTGTTTTGAAGGATGGATGAGCTACACTGTGTCAAGCTCAAACTTTAAAGATTACTTTTAGGATGTATACGATTTTAACTAGTTAAATAAGGTATAATATGGGACCTCTAATATATCCCAAACAGAATTTTTGTTGCCTAAATTTAATAGCGTGAACCTTCACTTTGCCAGACTCTTTAAACTTTGATGAAACTGTCCCACTCTTGATACTGATTAAATATTACACCCTGATTCCCTTTGTTCTTATGTTTTCTTAATGGGATTTGACTCATCTCACCTCCATCTTCTCATGTCATCTCATATCTCTATGATCCCTTCTTTTCTCTCGTCTTCCTCTTCTCTGATCTGACTCCTTTGTCTTTAGTATTTCATCTGCTGCTTCACTTTGTCCTATCTGATCACACCTCACCTCTTATCCCCAATCTCACCTGCGGAGCGTCTGTGATGTAGAGCTCCTGCTGGTGCTCATCATGGCTTTGTAGTACTGGTGTTGCTGGTTCTTGGACAGGCGGGACAGAGTGTTGCCTTCCCCAAATGCCAGCAGCTGGTCCTGGGAACGGACACGGCGTGGTGGCCTATCGAAGCTGGAGCTGGTGTAATGTGTCTGGGAGGGGAGCGGGTATGGGTTCGGGGTGGAGGGCGGCATGTGGAGGTGGGGCCGAGAGCCATGGAGTGGTAGCGTGCCTCTGGATCCCAGCGTGTAGTCCCCTCCAAAGGGCAGGTGGTGCTGAGAGGAGTAGAAGGAGGGCGGAGCGTTGTTGGAGCGGCGCTTGGAGTTGTAGTAGCTGGAATACTCATCAAGTTCTTTCTCTGATTCACAAAAACACAAAGAGAAATGTGTAATATGTAAAAAGCTATTTTGTATGTTGATGATTAACACAGAATGATAATTATTGACGATTATATACAGCTGATTGTTTGGTTTGATAGGAAAGGTGTAATCACTGTAGTCATTCTCAGGTAAGTCTCTGGAATTAACATAAAGATACATTGTTACAAATTTAAAGTTTGATTACTGAACAAAACTTTCACAGAATCAGAAGTTGTTGCCTTTATGGGACTGGAGATAACATGGACAACACATTACTCCACAAGCTTGCTGTGAAAAAAGAGGGGGACCACAATTTGCTCGTGTTGTATTAATCAAGGTAAAGGCCATGAACTCATCAGGAAAGGGTCTCTCTTTTATACAACACCCCCTGCAAGTCGTAAGAAAAAATACAGGTTTAGGTTCGAAATGCCTTCATGTATAATCTAAGCTTGCTGGCTACATTGGCAGTATCATGCATCTTTTACTATTGTACACATATATGAGGTATCCCATTAGTTTTGCATCCAGGGTCCATTGTCATCACTCACTGTAAAAACTCAACCGGCCGAGAAAACAGAAAGTATAAGGGAAAACTAAAGGAATCCACCCAGCTTTTAGAAATGATGAAGCCTTTCAGATGAGAGGTGAAACCTCTTCAAAAAGCCTTTGACTGAACACTTAAGATTACTATGACCTGGATGACTGAGACAAAGGACAAAGCACAAATATGCTAGGAGGAAGTGATAATTAAATATGTCACTGGAGGTAGATGCTGGTGTGGTGGAGGTGTTGAAAGAGCATGCAGGGCAGCACCGACTCCATCAGGTCTGAAAGAGAGATGGGAAATGTGGCAGCTTAAACTGAGAGGCTGTGTTTGATTTATGACATGAGATTGAGCCGCACATACATACGGCTCAATCTCAATCTATGTGCAGTTCAAAACCCCATTTGTATTGAATCCGCTTCAAAAGTTTAGTGATGTCCGGAAAAATGTATATAGCATCAAATCAAAACAGTCTACTCCTGACGCTTTATATTGTCAGGTAAATAGGCTACAAAAATAGAGAGAAACCCCCAACAATCAGATGGCACGCTATGAAAAAGCACTGGGTGACAGTGGGAAGGAAAAACTCTTAACAGGAAGAAACCTATGGCAGAAGCAGGCTCAGAGAGGGGAAGATACAAGATTCAAGTACAGATTCACACCGTTATGGTGTCCCTAATGACTCAGTTCAAACATCGTGCTAATTCCAATACAATATTTTTAAGCCTTTGTTTAAAAAGGTTAAAAAACTGCATTTACATTCATCTTTACTACAGCAATGACATTTAAATTGTTAATGAGGGCATCCGTCAGTACAACAGCTACCTAATGGCCTCTTTGCCATCTATTTTCCCATAGATCTTTGAATGCCTCCTTAAATAATGTCTCTGTTTTAATGTCCGACTGTGCACATGTGACAATGGTGCAAGTAACTGTCCTGTGAATTCACAAGTGTGCAAGTGGGCGTCATGTGTCATGACTCCTACATGCTCCATCCTCATGAAAACAGTATTTCTAGTCACGAGAGGCAGCAAACGATCCCCTGCTGTCTGCTACATGTGAGAAAGGACAACTGCAGATCCCAAAAATGTGGCTCGGTGGTACTGTTAGTTACTCATGTGTGAATATGGCTTCAGTTAAAATAAGGAAGACAAGAGATTTAGAGAAAACACATCTTGAGAGGTCCATTTAGTAGCTGGAGAGCAGCAGTAATAAAATATTATGATCTTCATCAACATCAAGAGATGTTGAAATTAAAATCGTTTACTAAAAATTTTAATGCTTCTTGTCCGTGCAGGAAAAAAGTATCAAAGACCTGCTCATGAAGATCATGCAAAGAGCTCAAATTCACTGACATAATAAAGCTATAAAGCTACTAAATGGTCTTGTGAGACTGTGAGAATCAGATAAAGAGTGGAGCAATAAAAAGGGAGAAGCAGGTGAAAATGAAAGAAAATATAATATCAGAAAGGGCGAACAAATTAGAGCAAGAAATGTCTTGTGTAGCAAGAAACTGACCTTAAATGTCTTGAAAGAGAAGAAAGAAGAATCCAAGAGAGAAAGGAGGAAATGAAAAAGTGAGAAAGACATTTTGTCACAGGAGGACAAAGACAGAAGGCACAAATGGATAATGCAAAAGGAGAGATACGCTGTATATTGCATGAGGCATAAAAGAATAAAGGTAGAAGACAAGCTCAAGGCCAAAGACAGAGAGGACGTGAGGTGAAAATAGGCTTTAAAGGCGGCGAAAGAAGATGTTTCACAGCATAAATGATGTAAAAACAAAGAAGTCGAGGGACAACGTAAAGACAGAAGAAAGGAATGACGGAGAGGGAAGCAGTTAGTCAGTTTCACTAACAGTGAGAAGCAGTGCTTCTGTGCGTAGCCCGAGCCCACTTTAATCTTCAAAGCATTTCCATGGAAGCAGCTCCCCAAGAGCCAATTTAAAGCTGACCTTTAACCAGCCACCTCTCTCTACCTCTTCATTCCCTCTTTCCTTTTCTTTGCTCTCCCTCTCAGGTCTCTTCCCCTCCTTCTGTTTGCCTCTTTGTCTTCACTATTCTCCACACTTTTCTTTTTTTCAGTCTAGTTGTTGTTGCTTTTTCACCTTCTCCTCGCTGTTCAGGCTTTTCTCTCTGCTTCTCTTTCCTCTCTCTGTCCTTAACCTCTCCCTCCTCTCAGTCTTTCTCCTCACTCTCCCTCACGCTCTCTGTTTACTCCCCTCCAATAAGGCTAAATTATCTCAAGGTTTCTCCCTGGCTGCCCTCCTTAGACAAAGAAGCCTTTATCAGTGTCCTTTCTGCAGCGCCGTCTGGGGAACGGCATCAAAAGGATCACGTTTCAGAGAAAGGCTGACGGGAGGCCATATTCCCTCTTTATGTGTCACAATGACAACTTTTTATTCTCCATTTGAAGGAGTGTTTCACCAAAACTGACATTCAGGGTGGTTTTCTTTGAAAAAGCAGGAATCTAATAATCAGACAAGTAGAAGTGAATGAATGATTCAGCCTGAATCTGCTTAACAAAGGGTTTTACATTCCTCTGTGAAAGCGATCAGTGTCTGGGAAATAAAATCATCCAGCACAGACGAAGTGACTGCTTCATGTTTAAAGTGCTCGCTGCCATCACTGCAAGTCTGGTGTAGTCAGATCCTACAGTCCTTCTTAGTAGATTCAGTAGTTTAATGTCAAACGTGAGCTACAGCTTAAGGCAAGTTATCTTTGGGATGTCTGAAACTTAAGAGCAACATTGACTGAAGTTAAACGTAGCCACAATGACTGGCTGCGACATTGTGATACAAAGCTTCTAGCTGCGCATTTTGAAATCAAACCTGGTAAAAGACAACGGACCAAAAGAAACACTGCACGCTCATATGACTTGAAATTTGAAAGGTAGAGTGTTTCCGGTTTTTCCTGTACATTTCTCATTGCACTTCCTTTCAAAGCCAGAGGAGTCGCCCCCTGCTGGCCATTAGAAAAAAAAGCAGATTTTGGGCACTTCAGCATTTGGGGTGAAGTTAGTCTAAAAAAATAGCTCCTACCTCCTTTTCCTCTTTCTTGTCATTAGTGGAAAACATCAGGTGAAGAAAAGGTAAACGTGATTTTAGAAGGACCTGAACCTCAGAGTACTAAATCAGCATATTACCCCACTTTTTCCAGCTGACTGAAGTGAAAGTTCATTCACGATAATCCTGAACGGACATTACCAATGCAGCCTGGACCTTAAATGCACTTTGATTAATTAACATAACTGGATTTAGAGAGTTTATATAAATCCACTTTCTTCGCATGAGGCGTAAATAAAGAGGTTACTACAGAAGTTTTGAGTTCAGCTCTGGCATGAACTGGAAAACTATAAGTAACATTTCTACAATCTGCATCAGTTTATGTGTCAGATGGTGTGTTGGTATGAACGTTGGGATGGAAATAGCTCGAGTCCTTTCATAAAGGATGCTCCAGTCCACTGCTAAACGAGGTAACACAGGAAGCACTGGCGCACCTTTCCTCAGTATTTGGAGAATCTGGCCAGCTCTACACGGATGCTTCCGGGTCGCTTCTCTCAGTTAGGAAACACTGCCATGAAAAATCGTCTTTGACTGCATCATTTTTGGGGGATTTTGTTCATGTTTACGTTTAAGTCATTTCCTGCTGTTACTGTTACTTCCTGTCTCTGTTAGCGATCCCTCTTCTGTAATTGTCTGCTTCTCCCGCAACACTTCCACCTCTGTTGAATCTGCCACACCTGTTTACGATTAGCTAAGCTGTGTGTGTGTGCGCGTGTATATGCAACCTGTGGAGCTTCTTCTGTTCATGTAGTCAGTTCATGTAACTCCATGTAGTCAGCTTTTCAGCATTACATTAGTGTATCATAGTGTTTTTCCTTTTTGTTTTCTCATGTGGGTATGGGCTGAGACGTTTTCACACACAGCCAGCTGATCTGTGTAGGTTATCAGTAACTAATTTGCTCATTGGAAGTCTAAATTTCACTTCTTTGATTGTCATTGTGAGTTTGAAATTTCCTCCATAAAACACACCAACCCTGTACATTTCCTGGTTCCTATTATTCTAGCTATTCTGTTAAATTCAATTTGTTTATACAGCACCAGTTAACAACAGCCACCCATAAGTGCGTTATATTTTAAATAAAAGATCCTACGTTATCAGAGGAAGAAGTCAATCAGACAAATCTCTGAGTAGATTCAGACTCAGGGAGGGGCAGCCATCTACCACGATTGGTTAGAGTGCGAAAAAAGGACAAAACAAAATCAGCAAGTTTCACTTAAAATTAAAAATATGCAGTTTTTCTAAACTCCTGCACGTATTCCCTCGCATCGTCTCTCAGTCATGGAGCAGAGAGAGAAAACAGAGCCACCTGCACACAAACCTCAGAAAACACTCTGTCAAAGTGAAGTGCATGCTACAGCTCTACTGCAAATGTTTTCCTTGGTTTTTTCTTCATTATCTAGAGGTGATTTCTAATTATCAAACAAAATGCAGTGCTCATTCATGCTGCAGGAACACGGCCGCCTGCAATATAAATTAATGTGCTCAGTCATTTGAGGAAGTGCAATTATATAAAGGAGGGACAACAAAAGAGAGAGAAAAAACATGGTGACCAAACAGAAGAAGAAAAAGGAGAAAATAAAGAGGTGAATTATGGGAATGGCATCTGTTTCTCTCTGGGATTTTTCAAAATTTCCTTAAAAAGGCTGCAGGACATCGACCGAGATGCTCATTCATGAATATGAAGGTTTCTGTTCTCTGATGTGAGGAAGCCTTTTTATCTGTTGAAGTGTTTCCTTATTTTGATTGAATTGAAATAATAAAGAATCTCATCTGGACTCTTCTTCCACCTCATTAATGCTTCCATGTTCACGAAGAGCCACACCGCTTACACGCGCACACATATGACCCCCCACGTAGTAACAATCCATCACTCAGCCTGCAGAGGCGACTCCCCTCCCCCTGCAGTCTTCGGCAATCACAGGGTGAGAGAGGCGACCAGCCACTGCCTCTCCAACGTCTTTTCTTCTCCGTCGAAGGCAGCCAGGCCCCTGCGGACCAGCCAGCCAACGCCCCTCCCCCTGCCTCCACATCTCTTTTTCCTTCAAATCCCTTCTTCCTTTCTTCCACTGCCTCTCTCTCCTTTCTTCTCAGTCTGCTCACTCGAGCTCACAGCATCTCCCTCTTCCTTACCATCTCTTTTCCCCCCATTAATGCTGCATCCTTATTCACCCAGCCAGCCTTCCCCTGATTTTCCTCTTCTGGTTAACAAACCTGCTTCTCTACCCTCACCCTGCCTCATGTTACCATGCTGCCTTCCCATCTCCTTCAACTTCATTTATCTTTCCTCTCCTCCTCCCTTCCTTCTTTCTTCTTTATTATCCTCTTTTCCCCCACTGTTTCCTCAATTCTCCCTCATCTCATCATCCATCTAACTCCATCTTCTTCTCCATGCCTTTGGCTGTTTAGCAGAAGCAGTTTACACATTCAGACAACACACTGAGATGATTATTTGTCACAAACTCAGGTGGCCATGCATGGTACCATCATTTAGGTTCCCCGCAGAATCAGCAGCCTGAAATTTTACTAACCAGGCCACAAAAAGGCAAACACAGTCATGGCCAGTTTATATGAATAAAACCTGCTCACAGTTTAGTTGGCAGAGACATGATTTGGGATTTGGATGACCAAAAATCAAACAGTTAACAACGTCTACATTAACCAAATGAAGCTGTAATATAGGACAGATGTCATCACAGTGACAGGGTTCACAACGTAACCGACTATTTCTATCGACCTCAGTTATGAGTTCATCTGTATAGCAAACCAGCTGAACTGAACCCTCCCTAGCAAATACTTTCTTCATGCAGTCAGTATTTTCACATTAAAGGGAACTTCTAAAGAAAGTGAAGTCGTGAATATGGGAAAGAGTAAAGCTGACGGTGCAGTAACACCATTTCACTCGCGTCTGTAACTAAAAACAGATCTGCGAGGACTAAAATGTATTTACAGCCACTTTAATGAGAATCAGCGCAATTAGTCTCAGTTTTTCCTCAACAGGTTAATAATACGACATCAGTGATGAGGACTCTCTGACAGCGAGCGGCAAAGAGGAGGAGGCGACACGACTGAAACAGTCAATCCAGGTTGAGTGAAACATAACATTTTCAAGTAAATACCCGTGCAATTAGTTTAATCAAAATCAAAGCCCTGTTCAGCTGTTCAGTAACTTTAAACGTCAAGAAAAGCCAATTTTCACCTACTTCATCTGCCCCCAGGTTGATCAGCATAGCAGCAGCACAGTATAATCAAGAGGAAACAAACACAAAATTGTGTGTCACTGTTGTGCAGAGACCTCAGATGACGGGCAGTTTGTGTTTGACACCAAAAAGTTTTAAAGGGATGCAGAAGAAGTCAATCTTTAGGCAGGAGTATGTGCAAAAACATGGTAATTAACAGCAAAAGAAAAAAAATCAATCAAGGAAACTAAAATAAAACTAAAGAAAATACTAAAATACTACAGAAATCACTCTCTCACGTTCCCCTGCTTCTGCCCCAGTCACTCTCTGCTCTTGACCTAATCAAACATGTCTTCACTCCCACTGGTTACCAGCTGAGTCCCAGGAACACTGAGGACTCATCAGAGGCAAAACAATTAAAAAACGAATTAAGTCTGGTTGAATTCAGCTACCAAAATACACCAAAAACAGAAACACACGTGATCAGTGATGACACACTCCACTGACAATATCTGGGAATTGGGCACAGTGAAAAGGGGGAAGGCGTGACAGCTCCACAGTCACACTGACAAACTGCTTGTTTAGCTTTCTACTTTAAATTTGGTGCATTTCTTTTAAACTTTGCTGCAGGTTGACAGCAGCCGTCCTCTCTCTGCCTGCGATACCTGCAGGGTTGAGTTTAAAGGAGAGCACGGCATTTTCTGGTTTTTATGAGATATTTTAGATTTAAATGTCAGTTTAAAGACATTTGCATTAATAGAATATATGTTTTATTGCAATTTCTCCAGGAATTGCACACTTCTAGTTTACTGGCAACCTGCCCCGTGTGTACAACACTTGTTGCTCAATGTTAGCTGGGACAGACTCCAGCCATTCTGTAATCTTATTTGGACAAGCTGCTAAGAAAATGGATGGATTTTACACTAAAGATGGAGGAATTCTCCTGCAGGCAGGGTCAAATGAAAGATGCCATAAAGTGATTAAAAGTGTAGCGATCGAAGTTTTGAGAGTCCATCATCGGCTTACTAGTCCTCACTTTATGACAAACAGATGCAGATAATGTTTTTGTGTATGCTCTGTCCTCATCGTAGGTGCTGTGAAGATTAATCAGCAGTTTTCTGAACACAGAAAACTGTTATCTTCTGTGTTTTGCGGGGCCGGTGTTACAGCCCCTTCTTTGCCTTCTGGCCAAACTTGGTCTTTTTTGAAACTTCCAAATCAATCTGCTATAGTTGCTCTTTTTTGTGATTCACAACTACGTCCTATAAAGTCTCAAAGTATAAACTTTTAATTTATCTTTGTATGACTACATTTGCTTTTTTTCATAATAAAAAGTAATGATTTCTTTGAAAATTTGTAGTGTAATCATCAACACTTAAGAACCAATCAGACACAGCTGAGGCCTTGTGTGCGTTGTTTCACTTGAAAGCTCCCAGTGGTCCTGAACGCTCAATCAGTCCCACTTCATCCCTCACTCCGGTTTCCCTTTTTCCTCCTTTTCCATCCCTTTATCTCCCCCAGCGACTCACCCAGCCTCTTCAGCGAGCTGTAGCGGTTGATCTCAGGTTTCATGTTTGCATCGTAGGACGGTGGCAGCTGAGCCAGGTTGTGGAAGGAGTGCGAAAAAGACGGGTGGCTGCTGTTGTGTCTCAAGACGCTGCCGCCGCCGCCTCCCGCACCTTTGCTGCTACCAGAAATCAGGGTGGGCCCGGAAGTGAGCTGGGGGGTGTTGTTCATGCGGGATCCACGCTCTTGAGAGAGAGAAAGACAGAAAGAGGTGGAAAAAGGAAAGAAGAGATAGATGGAGAAGTGAGGAGGAGATGAGGGGGAGAAAGGAGAATGAAGGAGAGAGAAGGTTTGGAGGATGAAAGGAATGATGTGTAAGTGTAAAAGAACAAAGAGAAGGAAAAGAAGAAGTGAAAGAGAGAACAAGAGAAGATTATACAAGCTGGTTAACTATCAGTAAACAGGAAGTGTCTCTGAGCTCCATGGAGACCATCTATTAATACAACTCTGTGCTGTTCATCTGAGGCTCAATAAGACGAACGTATCAGCCACATGTAAATACACAGAAATACACTGATAGCTTCAGGAATCTACACACTCAAGCACACACACATATTCACATTTATGCAAAGTGCAAAAGCAGCACAGCGATCAATAGACATAAAAAATGATTTGTCTTATGTAAGATTTGCGGTATGGGGGAGGGGCAGGGGTGTCTGTTTTGCAGCACGTATACTCATATCCATTACATCATAAGGTGTACAAGTACATTCATAGTTTCCAAACAGCAAACAAACAGCAGTGGAAATGACCCAACATGTAGGTGCGCACAGGTCACCTGACATGTGTCGGATCTGTACATTCAAACAGAGGACAGAGGGACACATCTGCAGTGGACAAACACATGCCAGCCATCGCTGGATTAGCATTACAGAGGAATCTGAGAAGCTCGATTGACTGCTAAATGTCAGCAGAGGATGTTTGAAAGGTTAGAAATGTGAGGAAAAACTATGAAGCAGCGATTAAAGCTTGCGTAACTGTGGCCATTTGCTGCTGCTTCCTGTCTTAGACGCAGATATAATCAATGGTGAGTCCATTCGGGGCGGTAACAGCTATGGGCTGCGATCTTGTTAAGATAACTGCAGGACATATACTGGTCATTGACCATTGACAGTAATGGGCAATAATGGCCAATGTTGTCTCTGTTAAGTGCCACCCAGGGAACACACGCCACATCGACTTCTGTACCGTGAATTCTACATACACTCACACACACACGGTGGGGAAAAAGCAATGCTAGCTCTGAGCTCTGAGTTCATATGGCTGTAAAGCAGGAGCTGAGCAGCAGGATGCAGGCTGTGGAGGAAATAAAAGGTAGAAAGCATCAAATGTCCTACCAATTGCTCTGTGTTTTTGTGCCACCATGCTAAATTAGCCTGGTAATTTCCATGAGTGAGAGGTAATTGATTTTTTTCTTTTTGAACACCTACGATGGCTGACAGAGGTTTGGTAATGGTGTCCGGGAAAAATGAACTTTGCTCAGTGTGAGCCGAGTATGTGACTCAGAGAGTTGAGGGGTTTGTGATTGTGTTGTACCAGGAGGCTGGAAACTTTAACACAGGAGGGAACCAGACAAGTGATGCAAAGGAGGTTCTAAAGTCTAAAATCTCACCTTTAGAATCAAAAATATTGAGTACAAACCGGCACAACTGAAGTAAAATCATCAAAATTCTTGGGACTGAAAGTTCAAATATATCAAAGACTTGAAATGAAGGGCATCTCCTTTATCCAACAGCCTACAGTTTATTTTTATTTTGTTAATTTTAGGTTTGTACTTCCTAATTTGTGCCTGTGTGTCTGGTTGTTTCCTGGTCCAAGACCATTCCCCATAATTTGCATTAACAAGTAATGCCCCCTTAGACCGGGGGTTGTCAAAATGCAGTTCACGGGGCAACAGTGAGGCACGTGAACGTAACAAATACACTAAATCTGTACATTTTATTCATCCACTTGATGATATAACAGTGCAGAAGCAAACCAAGGGAACATTTCTCTTTAGTCATCACAGCTGACTAAACCTTCCTAACACTGAAAAGCACAGCTGGTGTCAACAAATGTCACCTCACTAATGGTTTAAAACTATAAACCGGCACAGAAAACAATAATTACCCACATAAGCTATTACTCCGAACCTAAAGGCGCGTGCATTTTCTTGTGCGGCCCTCAATCACATACCTAAAATGTCACATAGTTTTATAACAACCTTGTGATGTATTAGACCTGTTAAATCACACAGCGCTGCACAAAATGGCTGAATTTAGATTAAATACAGCAAACGCTAAATTATACATTTAATAGTTTCTTTGTAAGGAAAGACATAAAAAGCAAAAACCGTGTTGTTTAGGTTTTTTTTGACTGTGTCGGGTTTTTGCATAAGGTAGGAAATGTCTTGGGGTTTACCTACCTTATGATTGGCAGGTTTAGCTTAATGGTTAATCACAGTCATCATCAAAACCCCAAGATGTGTAAACCGGCTCATTTATAGACCAATTTACTCCTAAAAATATGTTTTATTTTGTCTATTGACGGTTTTGATTTAGAAAGTGATGAAGACAAACACATTTCTAACTGCACCTTTAACTCCTCCAATAAAATCTGCCTTTATCTGATATTCAGATTTCTACTCTTGAAATCTATGCAATAAAACTCATGCATATTTAGATACACCAATAGAGACATTAGTGTCTTTTGCATATGCCGCTTTTCAATTTTTCTGTGCTCTCTGTGTTTCTAGGACCAGAAAACTTTATCTTTAATGTAAGTCACTGACTAGTTTCATGTAATAATACAAAATGTTTACACTTTTTGCCCCGTAGTGTCTGTCCTTAGATGAATTAAGTTGAAAATGATGATGTAATTGTACTTGCTGGTTAATATTTGCTGTCCTCTCAGCCGGTTTTACTCTTTGCTGTTGCCTTCTTGTGTAATCCGCTGCATGAGGGGCACATGTAGGTGTAATAGCTTGCAAAAACTGGCACTGAAACAACTTAAAAAGTTAAATGGAAATCATGCTCATCTCCATCAACACCATCATATTTCCATGGCAACCTTATCCTGTATCCTGTCAGAGTCATGTTAGAGGCATAAAATCAGCCTTCGCAGATAATTATCTGACTTGCAGTAGGAGTTCATGTGTTTCCTGGGTGCAGCACAATGACCTTTGGTGGAGATGAATCACTCGCGCTAGCATTGCTTTTCTGTTTTCTTCGTGTAAAGCCTGTGAAAACAGACTCGGGTTAAAGCGGTGACCTCCTTCGAAGTTTGGTATCACACTTGCACATCACTGCTGCACAGAGAGAGGAGGAAGGACGAACAAGCACATCTGGAAGCAGGCTTGTGGGGGGGAGTGAGTGAATAGGGAAGACGGGCTTGCATTAAGCAAAGGGCAGGCCAGACAAGTTTAAGCTCACACTCTTATGAAAGATCTGTCAGATTCAACACAACCGTGTGACAGGGGAAATCACTGGAAACGTACAGCACGCTGTGATTTCGAGCACAAATCTGCACGTAGCCACAGGGTGGGGTTGACAATGGCACAGCTGTTTTAAGAGCGCAGCACAACAGGCCGTCATACTAACATCGAGACAGACAGACAGTGGTGGAGGTGAGGCCGCGAGTCCGGCTCACTGGGCTGCTAACCACAAGGCTTACCGATGGTAGCAGAGTGTTTGGGGCTGGAAGCAGACCCCTGCTGGTTAAAATGATGGTGCAAGTTCCCAGCTGCAAAGAGAGCAGAGCCGACAAACTGATGGGACAGCCACTCGAGAGACACGGGAGGCATGTCGAGTAAGCATTTGTGTCAGTAAAGAGACAGAGAGAGAGAGAGACAGTGGGTGAGACAGGACAGTGAGAGGGGAGGACAGAAAAGAGACAGACTCAGTCCCTCCAGGAATGAGCTGACTTTTGCATTTCTTATTTAAATGACAAAGGTTGTCGCAAATTAACTGAATCGAACTGGCAACCCCCAGATTAAATCTTTTATGCAACACTGACAAAAGTGAGGTCGTTTGGTTTTTACTTTGCATTGTGAAGCAGCATGCGAATATCCTTAAACGGTCATCTCAGGTATAGAAGCCACACCCACCTGCTATTAAAGTCTCTTTGCAAGTGGCAGCCAATGAGAATAAAGGTTTTTCAAATGTTACAAATAACAATTATTTTGAACTGTGACTCATACAAAGCACCTCTAGCAGAGTCTAGAGTTGGAAACATGCACAGTGGGTCCTTTTAAAGCAAAGTTCCAACTCTTTAAAGTGCAGATTTTCACCGTCTTTCCCTTTTTATGATTGCAAGCTGAGCTTTAGAGTAACCGTTGGACACAAGAGACTGAAAAGACACTGCCGTTTTCTAGCAATTCAAAAGCTGAATTGTTATTCAACAATAAAAAAAAAAAAGATTTCTCAGCTCCTGTCTGTAAACTACACAAAAAATCTAGTTTCATAATTTCTGCAGTTGCTAAAATGTGAAGCTTTGGTACTACAAGGCGCTCTTACCATTTTTACCTCAAGAGAATCAAGAGCAGCTAAATAAATAATTTAAAAAATCCACTATATTTGGCACATTTTTCATCTTTTCTTGGCTGGAATTTGCAATTTTCCAACCTTATTTGCAGAGTCAGAGAACAATCGAATTCCTAGAGAGGCTGAAAGAAGAGAGAGCTGGTTCAGTGAAAGACGAGACAGAGCGACAGAGAGATAAAGCAGAGGTAAAGAGAGAAATGTGTGTGTGTTTCATTTCTGTGATTTTCCTGTGTGAGAAAACAGAAACATTCATGTCCTTCTGATAATCACCAGAGAGGAAAAACTTTGTGAAATCACACAAACGCTGCGTTTAATTCTATGATCGTGTTGACTTTAGTGTTCTAGTGTTTCCAGCATCCTCAGCAGATTCAACACAAAGCTCCTCTGTGTGTGGGCAACATAAGCATCTAAATAGGAGTGGAGGTTTTTCTTATATTAAAGCTTAAATCATGAGATTCAGCCTGAACATTTCATACAAAATATAAAACACATCCCCCTGTGGTAGCACTATTTAGAAAAAAGTGACAGTCAACATAAAGGAACCTTTAAAAGACACTTTTTAAAACACTGATGAGCCAAAACATTGGGACCACCAGTCTATTAACCTGTTAGTACTTTCTGTGTGCCTAAACCAGCTTAAGGTGCTCATTTCTCCCATACCCGACATAATACCCTGCAAAGCTGGCTGTTCGTGCAGACTGAAACAATTATTCAGGGTGAGAATTTGACTCTATCCCAGGCTACTTAGTCTAACCATATGTGTTATTTAAGCACCATATCTTGTTTCTCCTGAGTGATAAAAAGAATTCACTTTCATGATATGTTTGTGTCTCATTTTGGCTGTAAATTACAATCAATAGAAGAGTGAAGGGAGGGTGGAGAGAGTGTGCATACATAACTTACAGCTTTTTTAGGATATAATTATTAAAGTTATCTGTGATACTAGTAGGTATATGGAAACTCCCTTAAGGTTGAAATCTGTTTGTCTTGTTATACAGATGAGCTGCACAGTCTGTGTTTCAGGATAAGCTAACATTATGAAGTTGCAACAATCGGAGTACCTGCTGCAGCAGAAGCAGGTTTCCATCCCGTGCTTTGCAGAGAAAAGAGTGCTGGCATGCTGTGGTATAAAGGTGACCGTGACTGAGTCACTGCCCAAATTAATAGCAGGCCAAAGTCCCCCAAATGCTACACTCACCCTGCGGAAAACACTGGCTGGAGACGGCACAACCAAAAGGATTGTAACTGTGTCCAATGATCTTGTCATCTTCACAAAGGCTTAAATTATTTATAAAAGGGAGTGAGTGTGTTTGCAATTGAATGTCAGTTAAGCTGTTTATGATAAACCACAGTTAACTTTGGTAAAATGTTAAAAATCAGAAATCTGTTGCTGAGCTACATACACGGAAAACCTAATTTAAGAAAACTTCATATTAACTACTTACAGTCAGAGTCCAGCCAGAAGCTCATACATATTAAATAGAAACTCAGATGGTCCTCCACAAATAGTGACATAGTTGATTGCAAAATGACATAACCTTTCTTTTATATAGAAACATAAGCAGAGAACAACTAAATGGCAGCCAGTGAATCAGATCCTTGATTGCAAACAGATGTGTCGGAGACAAGTTTGCAACATTTCTGCAGTCTGTCTGAGTTTGAACATTACACCAATTATTTGCAGACCTTCTCCAGTCTGTCTGTCAATGACTGCATTCAGTCCGAGTTGGACCTCGATTGTTTGGAGACAAACTGACGCTCACCAGGTGGCTTCTACAATTGCAAAACAATTGAAAGTGGAAAGTAACCAGCTTGATTGCAACAACAACTAGCTGCAATCATTTGTAGACTGGGAAAAAAAACCAAGTGCAATCACTGGACAACCAAGATTTTCCTGGTTGCAAGGAGTTTGGTGTCCTATTGAGCGAGTGGTTAGACCAGGAAGTATCCTCATCCTCCCATTGGGCAAATTTAAGCAAAGTTATTTCCTTCATCTGTGAGTGGTCAAAATGTTTCAGCTCATCTGTGTGCAGGTCACGTTTGTGCAGAAATATAGAAAGCTGAATGAGAATTAACCTTTAAAAAAATAAAACACATCTCTAAACATTTTATTTTTCAGATTTAAAAACTGTTAAATTCAATGCATACTTTTATGTTTTAATTCAGATGAATACATTTTTGCAAGATCACTTGAGTAATAAAGAGCAGAAGGTGAATCCAGACAGGAAGCCAACCCTTTAAAAGTCTGAATCCATGTTGTTTCATTTCAAAAGACCCTCTGAGATTACTGATGTTAAACAATAATCTCAGGGGGCTTTTTTAAATGAAACAACATCTGGCAACAATTCACTCACAACAAATGTATTCCACCTGAAGTAAGAAGTGTGTTGCTGATATTTGAAACAAGAGCAGCGACAATTACCACCTTTTCCACTGGGGACGAGACAAGCTGGCCTCATTCGAATGCTCGTTTAACCTGAATATAATAATCGTCACTCACTGCGGTTGTCTTTGATCTGCAGGATGGGGGTGTACAGGTTTTTGGATGTGCGTCCGTCTGAGGTGGTCGTCAGCACTGTGCTGTTGTTCCTCTCGCCCTGCTGCACGGGGCTCGACTGGTGACGCAAGATATCCACCAGTGATCTGACGCAGCAGCGGGAGGACGGAGGGAGAGAAGCACGAGGGCAGAAAGACAAGAGGAACAACAGATGTGAGGAGAATAGTGAGAAAAGATCATGTGGAGGAAACATTTTCTCAGTCAGTTATACTTCAGAGCACTTTCCAAATGTGTCCAAAGCAATCCTATCATTGAAAATAATGCAGTTACGTTTCACTTTGATCTGTTTGTAAATCTTCTAAAACCTCAGTCTCACATGTCTTAAAAGTTTTCATGTTCCACTGCAAACTGAGACGTTTTAACACCTCACCTCTGGCTGAAGATCATTATTATTATTATTAATATTAATATAATCGCATGTGTAATATATAATCATTTACCAAGATAGCAACAACTAGATTAAAAGGAGACATGAATAATTGGTTTCATAGACACAATTTCTGTAACTGAAAGCTGAAATGAGTCTTAAACTTGCATTGTTTCCAATGGCCAGCAGGGGGAGACTCCCTCTGCTTTTCCAGGTTCATTGAAGTCTATGAAAAAAAGAGCCCACCGGTCACCTGATTTATGACCTCAGTAAACACCTTCCTGACTAGTTTAGGGGCTCAGTCACTAGTTTCTTGTTTAATACAACAAGCGTATTTTATAAGTTATAGTATGGCTTACTTAAAGTACCTTTTAGGGCAGAAATGACTTGTGATTGACAAGTTAGCCATATGCACCTCTACAGGTGACTAAGATGATTCTCTTCAAACTAGGACTTCACCCATCTTTATATGCAGACATTTCACAGATATTTATTGATCATAAGCATACATTTTGCATTTGAATTTTTAGAAAGACATTTCAATGTAACTTTTTTCTCTGAATGGTCTTTTCTTAGCAGCGTTTAATGCCTGGCAGAATCTGGCTTCACCGCCTGTGCTCCTCGTGGACAGCATCGGGTTTCGTGTCTTTGCTGTACGTCTAAACTGAGAAGCCAAGCAGCCGTCCAGCAGTCTCACCTAGGCATGTTGATGTCTCGGTTTCGGGGTCGACGAGCCACCTTGCTGAAGGCAATCCTGACGCCCACGGCCACCACCACAGTGAAGGAGATCACACCTCCGATCACATAGGCCGTGCTGTTTATAGAAAAGAAATTACATCAGGGCACTCAGCAGGAAAAACTACACGCTTTTCAGCTTCTTTTTCATTTTATAGTAAATTTTCAGTACGATTCATGTCTCTAGCCTTAATTGGGAATGATATTGTACTTCAAGTACAATTAGGGGCGCATCAATAGAAATTCATAGGTGATACAATTTTTCTTCATTGTTGCAGGATCAAACAAGAACTCTGTTTCATTGTTAAAGGTTTTTAGCTCCTCTTCAAGCAATTTTTTAACACACAGCACAAACTTTTTTTTTTACAAATAGCGTTTACAGAAAGCGTTGCATATTTTTTAGAAAGATTTTAGTGCTTATGCAATTACTTCAACTTGTTTTTACCCTTGATTTCTTATAAATGTGCTCAAAATTAAATGTCCAAAAGAATAAAACATTTATTTTAAAATTTAAAAACATTTAATGCAAATATTACTCATTAAATTAACTTGTTTCTGTCAAGATCGGGAGGTTATTTTGACTAATTATGCTGCTCTTTATTTATCTTTGCTGTCGAGATGATTCTAATATATTGTACTTTTCCTCTGATGGCTCTGTGACTGACGCATCCAGACTCTGACCTGCTGCTCTGCTGCGGAAACGTCTCAAAGTCGGGGTCTGTTTTCACCGCGGGCACAGTGACAGGGACCTGCGGGTCAGCCCAGTCGGGGGACTTGTAGTTGGTGCAGGAATCCTGATCTAGCCGGTTCCTCTGGTGCTCGCAGCAGAACCGGTAGTGGCAGGTGCCGCAGCAGTAGATGTAACTGCCCTGGGAGCAGTTGAACGAGTTGTCAAAGTGCCCCATCACATCATAGTAACCCCTGCGGAGTAAAGTTGGTAAAAACGTACCATTAATGCCGTCGTGTACCACGCCTCTGCTGCTTAAGGTTCTTCTTTGACCCTGAAAGTTCATAGGATGTGAGCGTTTGGCATGCATCATAATTTCGATTTCTGCCAATACAATCTTCTCCCACATCTTTACCTCCTGACGCTACATTAAAGTACATTAAGGACAGAACTCTTAAAAAAAAGAATGGTTATTTTCACTAAAACACTGGTGAAAAATAATAACAGAATACAGTGAATGTCCACAAACTGGTAGAGGTGTGAAGCCTAGTGCTGTGATCTGGAGCTTGAAATATTAGTGAAATCTGAAAGCCATTTGTAAATTTACTGCCAGTCCTGAGCCTCTTTTAAGTGTTTGTGATACTCCATATCTCAGGAATGCAATACCCAGCAAACAACTGAGTGAGCTGCCTTTGTGTTGCATATGTGTAGTATACTGTTTATATGACATTACTGCTCCTCAGTGTTAAAATCATGCTTATTTGACAGTTTCTGCAGACTTTATCCACTATATGATCTTATGTTTAGCTGCCTGCTGTGCTGTCTGACCAGAGATTTATGTCACTGTTTTAAACTCTAGATTTAGGACAACTGTCAAGGGTCATGCTGGGTCCATTTAATGGATCAACTGGTCAAATACTGGACATTTTTTTTCAAAACTGTGATCAAGCTTATTTTAATTCTACTCGGGTATATTTGCAGTTGCAGTATAATCCTGCAGTTGCTGTATTGTGTAGTTGAAGTTTTACGTAGGTGCATCCCAGGCTAGGCCCTAGCCTCAGGCTTTGGGGCCCCATTATGCAGTGCCATCGCCAAAGCTCTGTAGCATTTATGCCTGCATGTAGAGTGCTGTTGTCGCCACTTAGACAAAACCTCCACATCAGTGCTGATGTAGGAGGAGAAAAAGTCAAAAGCTGAAGCAAAGAAATCACATTTTTGTCCAAAGTCTCCTTTTTTCAAACTGTGATGGTACCGGCACAAACCGTGTGAGGTTGCAAAAACTGAGAGGTGCACAACTGAGCACAACACCACCAAAGCGGAGGATGTGACATCACTGTTGTCTGGCCTTGTCATTTGCTGGGAGGAGAGTGGCAACATAACAGTCACATTAGGGTTATGTGGCTCTACATTAGGTGTGGATGCAGCAGTGGGAGGTTTTTGTTACTGCTTTTGAACGGGATTTGAAGCCTTTCATGGACTTCCCCTGACTGAGATATTACCTTTATTGTTGCAGGACCTCTCTGAGCACTCCGAGCTAAAACTCGTCGTCTCAAAGGCGATAAATGTTTTAGGTAAATCCTGCATTTGTTCTGCGGAGAGCTTTTTGGGCTCGCAGAGTAGCACAAAGGAAAGCGTAGAACGGAGCTCTGTCTTCACTGCAGCGCTTCGTGCTGCTTTCTTGTGCCTGAATGTAGCTGCTGTTGATAGTCGTAGCGTGTGGCTCGCCAACACACATCTGACTTAGAGCTGATTATACGTTGCTTAGCAACAGCAAGACGCCTCTCAGTGAAAAATATGAGCTTCTGTGAGATGAAGATCCGAGCTGAAGGAGGGGAATCATGATGTGCCTCGCTTTTATGGCATCCAGAGTGATCAAGCCATCACATTGATGGATGTAAATTAGGGCGATAAAAAGATCCGCAGGCCTTCGACGACGAGCAAAACTTCAGCACAGCGGAAGATATAAAACAAGGAAAATCGTGATATTTCAACTACATTTTTATTAGAAGCCATTTACGTTCATGTAATCTGATGTTTCTGTCTAGAATTTACTTTTTTTAATTCACATTTTGTATGTCAACTTAACCCCAGAACTAAAAATGCCTGAACAGCTGCCAAGAATTTAATTTCTGACCCGATTGTGGAATATGAGTTATGTCAGCTGTAGAAGAATTGGATGCTTCTCTTGGTACCATGACAAAACACATGTTGATGCTTTAACAGCTCACTCTGCTGACCTGCTATTCCTAATGGAGTATAGTTTTTCAAAACAGATTAAAATAGTTTGGATTAGAGCTACACTGATCCAAGCTTTTGTGCTCTGATACATTATCGAGACCTTGGCTTCAGCCCCACAGATTGGTCACACTGTTGCATCCACAATTTTCAACTCTGGAACAGTTACAAAAATGTATCTAATGTAAAATGTATATAGATATTTGGAATGATTTTAGCTGACAAAAATGTGTTTGCATGTCCAAAGATTTCATTTTAGGTTACCTTAATAATTTAGCACTTATTCTCCTTTCCTGCTCAAACAATAAAAGATGTATTTACGTGTCCTGTAATTCTAGTTAGCTCATACTGATGTCTCATCCAGTAACATTTCTTTGACATAATTATAGACTGTATATAAAGGATGGATGTGGGCATTGTGATATGACTCAGTGGTTGGTGAAGTACCGTACTGAAGCTTTGAGTTCAGTTTTTTGACCGTCAGTGTCTGCTTTCAAATAAAGACATTACAGTCAAGGGATAATTCTGACTAAGGACACTGCATGCTCATACAGCACACATGGGCTCAACCCCATTCCGTTCCTATTTGATTAGAGAGAGTGTAAAATGTGAATGCAGCTTCCTGGTCTGAAAAATAAAGCCAACATAGACGTATAAAAGTCACTAAGATTTTTCAAATTTGGAACCATTCTACTAAAACTTATGGAGTTTAGCACAATTCAGCACAACATGCATCATGTTTCAGCTGAGTAGTTCAAAATGTGGCCGTATACTTTTTCCAAATTATTAAGAACTCCTGAGAAAACTGTTACCTGACTCAAAGCACAGCCTTCTTTACTGTTCACGTGACTCTAACATGGGACAATAATTTAAATGGCCATGCAATAAAAAAAACACTTAAAGCTAGAAAATGAGATTATAAACTCATTTGGAAAAGTTTTACTAACTAGTTAAAAATCAAGCGAGTAATTTTTCCATAGATTTTTACAACAGCTAACTTCTCTCTGCAGTTACAAGAGTCTCCCCCTGCTGGAGCTAAGACACAATGCAGGTTTAAAGCGCCGCCATTGCATCGGCTTTGTGTTTAAAACGCCTCGACTTTGTTCATCTTTAATATTCATTTTATGGACATTAGTTAAAAGTTCTCACAACTAAAAGAGCCCACATACAGAAACATGTTCCATTAGCTTTTAAGACTTAACAAAAACAGTGATAAACACTACACAGAATTTCTGACAACATTACTTGCACAGGTCCACATCCACCAGCTGTCTCGGGGCTGGAGCCACCTGGGCCGCACCGAGGGGAGGCTTCAGTGCTGCTGTTACGTTCCTTGGCAACATGGTCTGAGGGAGGGGCTTTGGTGGCAGCTCAGCCATGACTGGTGGATCATCCCCGTCCTCCACCTCTGCCGCTTTTGGCGGCACTTTGGGTCCGGCAGGCAGCCGTGGGAGTGGCGGCTTGTAGCCCGTCAGGAGGAACAAGGTGGTACTCGCTTTACCAGAAGCGGCAGAGCCGCCCCTGCCGGTCAGAGTCCTGATATCACCATCGACGGCGCGTCGCCGAGTGGTGATGGTTACAGTGGAAACAGCGAGGCAGGAGAAAAGCAAGAGGATAAGGGATAAGCAAAGCATCCCCTTTAATATTTTAGACGGCATTGTTTTATCACAAAGTTCTCAAGCCAAAAAAGTCACAAACAGCTTCAAATGTCAGCGAGATCCTCCAAAAAAAACCTCCATTACGAAAAGTTTTATCTGCAGTCTGATGAACTAATCCCTTGGGTTGGATTTCAGCAGATTCACGTTGTTCGAGCAGTGTTTCATGAATGCGTTTGGCGTGTCACTCCGTCATCTGAATGTAAACATTTCCGTCTGAATACAAATCCTTCCCATAAGCAGCGTTTGTAAACATTGAGGTCTTTTAGAGTTTTTTAGGCCCTATGCGATGTGTCTGTACAATGGCTGTAGACCTAAAGTAATCTAACTTAAAATTGATTAGAAATAGAGAATAATGTGGGTTTGTTTTATGGCAGCAGGTATTAAATGTTTAATTTTGGTCTGTCGGTCGACAAAGTGCCGTTTTACAGTCCGTTGGCCTAAAATCTTCAAAACAGGCAGTATTGAGACGTTTTCTGTAAACAAAATGAGTATGAAAAACTGTAAACTCGTCGTATAATGACTCGTCCAGAAGAAGAGTCCTATGTCTCTGAATGCAGGGTGTTCTGGGAGCTGTTTATGGCACAAAAGTCATGTAAGAAACTGCAATGGAAACTGTGGTCTGTAAACATTTAGTGCTGAATGTAAACTTTGTATTCAATGAGCTCTCACAGACGCTGGGTGTATTCTTCTCGGAGTTTGGCACTTCTGTTGTCCTGGGTGGAGAACTAATGTGTGAAAATTATACATGGAAATGAAATCAAATTAAACATCGAGCTCCGTGTGTCTCGTGTCTGTAAACAACAGTGCTGGCAGCTTTAGAGATCTCAGCTCTGTTTGGTGAACAAGCTGAGAGGAAGTCCGTGTAAATTTGGCACAAGCTGTTACTTAAACTTCTCTTACGCCACACTCACAGTTTGCCCAATAAACCAAATCTCCCTTTCAAAGAATTTAGAGGAAGAGGAGCAGTAAAGGTCAGTATGCTTGAAATTTTGGTTTCGAACAATGGAACGGTGAATTTATGAGTCGTGGGCTGTGAGCGCAACTAATAAAGGTACTATCACTGACGGCATTAAGCAGCATCAAATCTATAAGAAAGAAGTCCTTCCAGCAGCTACCGGAGGACAGACATCAGTTCATTAAGCGAGCGTGTCAAGGCATTCACAAAAGAGTGATCGATGGCGAGGATCTGGTGGATGAATTACAGGAAGAGACGACAGAACAAAGCGAGGATCTATGAGCGTTTGATACCCTCGCGCGAGTGTCTTTGCTCTGAATTTAGCTTGGCCCAGCAGAAGAGGACGAAGGAGGGCTTGGGCCCGGTTCTAGCAGGGCAGCGAGGTTCTGCCCACAGAACAGACATGAAACTGTCCGGATTCATCCGTCAAGACAGAGGAACGCAGGGTGATGACGGGAACTCGACACGGCCACTGCCACGCTTGACACCGCAGGCTGAGCGATCTAAAAACACGCAGGTAGAAAAAACTTACAAAGCCGCTCTTTCATCCAAAGGAATGAAATTTCGGGTCACTAGCAGTTTCTTCATCGACTCCCTGAATGTGTGTGTGCGTGCACCGACGTGACTGAGGATCACTTTGTTGTAGAAACCTTCAACATCGTGAGCTCTGTAAATGTATTCGTATGGCTGGTGTTCAGTATGGCTTTAGGTTATGTTCTTTTTTGTTATTTTTAAATATCTTTACAAATTTGATTTCCTTCCACAAAAAATGAAAGTACAGTGAAAGGTTTTAAATTGCATGTTTTTAATAGAATAAAAGGAAGAACGCAAAAAAGGTGTAAGAGGTCACTGGGAGTAGATAAAGGGGGCTTTTTAGGTTGTTCGGCGCAGCGTAATCAAGAGCCACGTGTGGAAGAAACAGAAGACGACAAAAGGGCGAGAGGCCTCTCTCGTAGAAGCGACTGGAAGAAGGAGATAGGCAAAGTGTCAACAGTGTTTCACAGCGCAGACTGAAACGACGGCGTACCTCCGAGCCTTTGAGATAGCAGCAGCGGTGGCGGTGGTGTTGCCTCTGTTTATCTGTTTGACGTGGCTCGTGTTGCCTGTCAGTCAAACGCCGTCAGAGTTATCACAGCTTACCACACGCCTCCTCTGCTATGCATAACCATGAGCAGACCGACAGCTGGAGGATTTGTCTATAAAGCACTTTGAACCAATAATGCACTGATCGCCGCCCCAGTGAGAAAAATCACGAAGTTCTAACATTAAAAGCAGCAAACACCGACCAAACGGAATGGATATATAAACTTTTACAGACGTTATCTTGAAATTCAATGTGGTTTTAATGGGGCGTTGGATGTTTTAATGTATTTGTGGGTGATGTATCCAAAGCTGGGTGACTAAATAAACTCTTTATATGAAGAGTTGTAGATTTTTTTGCTTCTTCTCTTGACACAGTCGGTTTGGCACCTGGTTTTGGTCGTGATTGGAACAAAAGAGCAGTCAGAAATCGTGATTCCAACCACATAAAAATAAAAAGAGTGGAAAAGGAGCAGGAAGTGTTCAGAGCCTCGGCTCTGAAAACAGCTGAGAAAGTCCTCCAGGAAAACCTCCACTTGGTCACAGGGACGGCCCGGATCAGATCCTTTACTCAGTTTCTTCAAGTCTTCCCGTCTCTCACAGGTTCGCGTCCACTTCTTCACCGGCTTTCACACTGCAACATAAGAACAGGAAACACAGGGTGTTGTAAGACGTTTTGCTGAGCTGGCTGTTATTGGTGCAGCGTCTCCACAGAGATATACTCAACTTATGGTGGGGGATGGGCATGCTGTGAAAGGATGCTTTCAGAATTAAACCAAGTTGTTTGTGCTTAATAAATAAATGCCCAAGCTAATCAAGTTGCATTCCACGTTCATAGACTGCTCTGCTCTGCAGCCTTGCCACATGAACCAGCGCTCCACCCGCTGCAAGTTCTGGTTAGGATGACCTTCACTGCAAAACAAGAACTACTTCTGCAGTCTGACCACAGCAGCACAGCAGCAACGTGGCAGCAGGTTAACTTAACACAGCAAGAGAGAGGCACTTCATCTATGTATTTATTAGTGGCTGAACTAATATTACTATATTATTAACTATATTAGTAATATTAGGGTTTGGTGGCATGTTTAAAATGTGTCCGTTTCCAACCAGAATTTGCTGTTATACTTGTGAGGTGTGTGCACCGAGCAAAGCATTTTTTCTTTTTGGGTGTGCTAGCCTGTCTCCTCTGCTTTGCTCTCTGTTTCACCATGTGCATAAGCTCCTCCCCCTACACAGAGCGAAAGACAACACTGGGAACAGGAGGAAAAAAACCTTTAACCCCCCCCCCCAAAAAAAAGCCTGCCAACATGCTGTATCAAAGTATGGTACGGCAGCTTCACTAAGGCGGACAGAGCGAGACTTCAGCGTGTAGTCAAGGCAGCACAGAAGATCATCGGCTGCTCTCTTCCCTCCCTGATGAGCATTTATTCCTCCCGCTGCCTCAGCAGAGCAGCAAACATCATCAAAGACAGCTCCCACCCTGGTTTTAACCTGTTCAGCCTGCTTCCCTCAGGGAAGCGCTACAGGTGCATCAACACAAAGACCCACAGACTCAAGAACAGTTTCTTCCCAAAGGCCATAACCACCCTTAACTCATACACTTACCGATAACACAGTCCCATCCCTCCATTTTCCCATTTCCCCCTATAAACCACCACTGTGCAATACCATGTTCTATGTGGATTAACCCGAACTGTATATACATCACACTATTTATTTACATATTTACTTTTTTACATCAGATTATATATTTTTACATTTCATATATTTTGTTTCTGTTAATACTGCTCATATGTATATAGTGCTGCAGAACTGTTGGAGATGCTCTGTATCTCACTGAACAACTGTATAGTGAAAATGAAGGCATTCTATTCTATTCTATTCTATTCTATATTGTCAAAACAAGGCCACAGCTCATTTAAAATGACCACTCCTGGTCTGAAATGTTTACACGATGGAGGGGTTAATGCTGCACACATTTTTCTTCTGTTCACAAGGAGATTTTGAGACTGGCTTTGTTACTTCCTGTGTCAAGAAACAAAACCCTAGAATTTAAGTTGAGATTGAATTTAGGCAGGAAATCCGTTATTAGGGCAACTGCGAAACAAGCCAGGAGGCTGGTGGTAATTTCCTATACTACTCTTGCATTGAGTACAGCTTCTTGACACTGAAACTGTGCTCAGCTGAAGGAGCTACAGCACACAAACATATACAAAAAACATCAGCTGACAGAGGAGATGGGAGCAGCTGTGATGTGACTTTGATAAAAAAGAGAGCAGACGACATGACAGATGCCATATGGACTCATTTGACAGAAGGACAGAAGAAAGACAGACCACAGATGTGTGTCTGTGTGTTTGTGTGTGTGTGTGTGTTCTGCTTGCAAAATGAGGCCTCCAGTGTTGGGAGTGGGAGGCATGCATAAGAGCGCTCTCAGGAAAAAAAAAATCTAACGCACCCTCATTTTCTTGCTCTTAATTAATGCTTGCAGTTTACACTTAAATCTGCTCTGACTGACATTTATTTCCTGTGACATCACATAAAGTCTACAGTCATCTTGTTTAAAAAAACATGCAAGTTTCATAAAAAACATGGCATTATAATGCAGTGACAAACTAATGTAAAGCAACAAACGAACAGATATTATTTAGGTTATTCAATGCATCAGCTATTCTTCATATGTACATGCAACAAATCTCTGATCTGGGAATC